TCAAACTAATCAATACATGGATCAATAGTGCTTTGTTGTTGGACAGAGAAGATGCTGCTTGTTCTCATTGGTCAGGTAGAATGAGAGCAGTAAGCTGCCGTCAGCTGATCAATTTCTACCATCAGTCCACTAGATGGCCTCATGGAGCAGGTGGAGGATGTTACTGCTCTGCTTCATGGAGATCTAAACTGAATGGCACTTTGTGAGGCAGCCATGTTTCATCTGGACATTTGAATGATTCAAGAGAAGAAAACTGTTTGTGTGAAACCAGATAAGCTGCAGATATCAGCGGGAGGTGTTATAGTTACTAACTGAGTGCAATGAAAGTAATCAGTTTTAACTACACGCCTTCTGTTTCCTCCCCTTCTATTTCCCCCTTCCTCTTCTTCCACCATTCCTTCTCTCCTTTTTCTATCCCCCATCTCCTCTCCTCAAACCTGCAGCTGACAGAAAACAAACCTCAAACTTTCCTGTGTTCCACAACTGATGACAAGTTAACAAACCTGTTGTTGAAGCAACGAGACCAGTTGACTTTAGTTTAGTTTTTACAGTGAAGGCGACTCAAAGAACAAAAGGAAACATGCAGTCAAACTGGCTTCTCTCCATCTCCCCTTTAACACAGAAACGCCTGAAGAGAAAACTACTACAGAAAAACTCTCTCGGACAGCTGAGTTAATAACAGGTCAGCTTCAACCTGCTGATTAATGTGTAAAAAATGGTTACGAGTCTGAGAGCCAAAACTGTCAAAGATTTCCCATTAAATTACAAAAACATATATATTTTTTATATTCTACTACAATAAAATACCATCAAATGACAGATTCTTGCTGTAAATTTACAGCCCAAATTTTTGCCACCCCCTCAGTCCTTGTGTCTCCTCTGTTCTTCTTTCCTTGTTGTTTGTGAGCTGTCTGTCAGTTCTATATGTGTTGGTATGGCGCACCGGCTCACCCGAGGCTGCCTACACACCTACAGCAAGCTCTGTCAGGTCTCCGCCAGATTGTACATACACCTTTGCAGTAACACACACTCCGACCAGCTCAGTATTTAGTCTTTGAAATTACCTTTTCTTGACCGCTGATTAATTCCGTGTTTTCTCCTGCTTCAGGTCATTGCTCCTTGCTTTGTAGAGTTTTGAGCGCCACTCTTTCCTGAGATCATTTTTTGGATTCATGTCTCACCTGCCTGCCTGCTCTCCACCTCTGCCTTTTGGAACGCCACTAGCACATTAGGGTTTTTTTCAGTCAACCTCTGTGTTTCTGACTCTAAATTGTTGTCCGTGTCTGCTTCTAAATCCCAAGAGTAACATTTCACTAGCTGAACTGCTGCTGTCTTTTATTTTATAGAGTGATTCAATTTCTCTCCAACATCTGTCTGTCAAAGTGCAGCTTTCTCATCTGGGTGTCGGGCGTTCTGCTGAAAAAGTGAGTCTCTGCTTGTTGCTGGCTTGTTGAAAAGAAGAGGTTTGTCATGACTGATGGCTCACCATGATATCATGTCTATTGACATTAGGGATCCTCCTATTTAGGGCAACAACCCTGCATTAATTTGAAACCATTCCTTTGTCACTCTGTCTTCGTTTGAATCATAGATTTATCTGATATGAAAACTTTTCAAATGTGTAAAGAAAAAGATCACACTCACTCAACCTGTTCCTGTGAACGTCGTCAGGTCAGCAGCTTGTTGATGTCTCGTTTAAGTCTGTTTATAAAAAGTGAGGCTTGCTCATTTATATTATGGTGACTCCACCCACCTGTACTGAATTGGTTATAGGATCGATATAAGTAGATGAATATATGAGCACAGTGTGAGTGTTTTGGCTTTCCTGTTGCTCTGTCTTCCTCTCTCTCTCGCTGCTCCCTCTATTTTCCTTTCCTGCAGGTTGTAGCAGTGAGCGTGACATGTAGTGGTTCCTGGGGTTGGTTCAGACACCTGTTTGGCAGGCTAAGTGACACACCTGATTCATATCATGCCTATCAATGTTGCTTTATAAGCCCTGCATTTCTCTTCGATGCCCATCAGATTATATTGAGCATTGAAGATCTCAAGCCAACATCCAGTGCTGAGTCACATGGTCGGAACCCATTTCTCTGCATCACTGCCTGCCTGCCTGCCATGCCGTCCAGCCACACGGAGAGTTTAACCCTGCCCTTGCTCAAACCATTCTTGAGTTACTGTTGTTTAATAAAGTGTTTAAACTTACTGCCGAGCTCTAGTCTGGTTTTTGGTTCAGTCTATCAATTTGTGACACAAAATCTTGATGCAGAGCTGTGTTTAAATCTGAATTGATTTAAAAGGTGTGGGTTTCGCCTCTCCTGAGTGGTGTAACTGGGACACTGGGCTGCTTGTCATCATAGAAACCGATCATATCATTGTGATGTTTATTCTGGCTTCAGTAACATTACATTCATTTAGCTGATGCTTTTATCCAAATGACTTGCAATTGTTATATACACTCACTGGCCACTTTATTAGGTGCACCTTGCTAGTACTGGGTTGGACCACCTTTTGCTTTCAGCTTGGTGACATGGTGCATTATCCTGCTGGAAGCAGCCATCAGAAGATGAGTACACTGTTGTCAGAAAGGGCCCAAAGTGTGCCAAGAAAATAACCCCCACACCATTACACCACCACCAGCAGGATATATTTAGAATAGAATATCTTTATTGTCATTATAATTTAGTTTAATTTTTAGAATTAAGTGCAGTCCTTATTCTGTGCCAGACAGGTAATAAAATATAAAAACACCTTAAGAGAAAACTGTTTTTAAAAAAGGGCAAATTTCTGTATATTTCTCTGTCAGAAGAACAGGGGCTCATCTTTAAATGACGGTGTATGTATTTCTCCTGTCATAAAATGTTTATAAATGTTGATATTTTAACTTGGACTGAATTGGGCCTACTTGTACTGCAATGTTTGTTAACCCTTTTTTTTTTCCAAGTTTCCTGTAATTAACTTTAAATTAACTGATATTTAAGTGTAAATTACATTTTATGTTCCCGTATTTTAATTAATAAATTGAATTTAATTATCTGTTAAGCAGTGTGAAATTACTACCACCTTTGAACTTCAAAGTGATTAAGGTGAAATGTGACGGTTAAATCAGGGTTTATGCACAGGGTCTACTGGTGTCTACCCGTTTTATAAATGATTATATTCTGCCCATCCTATACATACTGTACCACTATAAACTGTATACATTATAAGCTATACAACATTACATTACATTTTGTAAAATTATTATATGCAGTGAACAAAAATCTGCATCATTTTTGGAATAGTAAGTAAACAAATAGAATACAACTGACTATAATTCTTAAAAAAAGCCAACATAAAAAGTAAATAAGTGTGATTGTGAACATTTTCAAATACAGATGAGCATTACAAATGATACTTTCTAACATAAAGGCAAAACTCAGATGCAACAGTGAAGCACTGAACACTCGCTGAGCTGCAGCAGAAACCCTCACACTCCAGTAAAGGTTGGGTTTTCCACAGTGGTGGTGGCATCCGGTAACAGAGGGTTGGTACCCTAGCAACAGAGGAAGTCCAGGATTAGGTGATTTGAATGACAGTCTTAAATAATAACACAAGCTGGTCTCGTGAAAAGATTGAAGGGGGTGATTCACATGCACATAGTGACTTGAACCGCCAGCAGAGCCCTGGCTCATACACAAGCAGCAATTCAGCAAAACCGTGAAATTCTTTAAAGGTGATCAGTAAACAGTTCCCTTCCCACTCCTTTTTCTCACAGGATTTTGGCCACCTGATTAGTGGCTATCGCCCCTGGATCTTAGTCTCAGTTGCAGGTTGTGGTAGGCTGGGCTTGTGTTGTTCTCGGTCTTTGTCCTGCCGCTGAACTTTTTTTTTTTTGACTGACTCCACTTGCTATTTGCACTTAAATAACAGTCATGGTGCAGACAAACTGGATCGGTCGACAGATTCTATTAATTTTAAACAGGAGCAGGAGATCCATCGCGCATGACGTTACGCTGCAGTGAGTTGACTGACTGTTCGCCATATCTGAATTTGCATTAACACAACCTCGCCTTTATGCAAATGAGTTTGTCCAGCGCAATGCACGTGGCTCACTCAAATTAAACTGAGTGTATATATATATATGAATCAAGAATCTATTCCTCCTCCTCACCCAGACTCCAGAGACAAGGCTTGTTTTACCATGAGCTGGCTACAAGGGTGCAGACTTTACAATACAACCTGGTGCCGAGGGTAAAGCTGCCGTATCTATATGGCGGCTCTTATACACTGAAAGATTTCCTGGAGGTTGGGTTCACACTGTGCGGGTTTTTATTGGATTATTATTATGGAAGACTGTGGGTGTTAACTGTGGGGGAATGAACTCTTTGACCTCTGGGTGATGTTGTCATAGCAGACTTGTGAGAGAATAGGAGCATTGTATGTCTTATCACTATGTGACAATACATAATGTGAAGGATTCTGTACAGTGCAAAGCTCATCAGTTGCCTCTTATATAACATTAGCTGAGTAGACTGTTTGTTAGGGTGTGTGTATGTTCTGTTATAATATCTGTTGAGTGACTTACATTACGTTACATTTATTCATTTGGCGCTTTTATTCAAAGCAACTTACATTTGAGGAATAACATACAAGCATCAACAAAGCATCAATACAGCATGATCCAGTAAAACAGCCCGTTGGAAAGCTAAAGTAGTTCAAAAAATATATCTACACATGACATCTTCAGTCAGACCTCTGCAACCTCAGTTTTCTCTTCATGCTACATAAACAGCATGCTACTAGCTGGCTAAAATCACTGAACACCTACACTGCTTTACTGCAGAGCAGTCCAATACAAATATTTTTTTAGATTCTAGAAAGGCATGCTTCACAGCAAAACACTTAAAACAGTCTAACAAAAAGAATACCACAGAAACTCTAGTCCTTAAAATGTAGATTGAATGTAATTTTTTTTTAATCACTGCTAACAAAAATCTAGAAATAATCACAAATAAATCGTCTCACCTTTTCCAGTTCATCTCCTCTCTTTCACCTTCGATGAATAGGTGGGACGCTGCGTGGTTCTGGACAGTCTGGACAAAAAGGGATACATTCCAGATGATTTTACACATACAAAATGCAACACTATAAAAACAAATGGGGAAAAGTGCATGTCTGCTAGCAGGATGGCAGGATGAAGATGGCAGAGATAAATGTATCAACAGCGGACAAATTGCAAATGAATTTTGTACATACATTTGTGGTCCTCTGAATCCTTGTTCCATCTGTCATTCTCCTTGAGCTTTCCTCTAGTGCCACCGTGAGACTGACATTTGTTGTTCTGACTAAAATGTCTGTACTACAAGTTGCAATGCAATTCAAACAAACAGTTCAAACATGTTCCCCTTCTCATAAGTCTCAGCTGTAATTTAATAATAATAATATAATAATTTGTTATTTAGCTGACACTTTTATCTAAAACAATTGTTATCTATTAGGGAGAGCCGGGATGATTGAAACGCGGGACGTATGAAACACAGCGATTTCCTCTGAGCCCATACAAGTCCGATATGCCAAACTACCTCAGCACATACAGAACACAGTACTTACCAGAACCGTGACAAATCAGGTGGATATGTCACATATTCACAGAGTTATACAGGAGAAGCTGTTTTCAATCACAGAAAGCAAATTCACTTAAGCTGAGCTACTTTTTTTTTTTAATGACGAGTTGTTTTTACTGTTTCATGTGTCATGGTTAGTATTTATTTTAAACTTTAGCAGCTAAGTTTAAAAGTCAGGAGTCACTCTAGCAACATCCAAAAAATGCAGCGCACTGCTCTTTTTCTAAGTTCAACAATAAAAGGCGCAAAAAGCGCTTTCTGTCTGATCAGGGCCTCTGAAGAGATTTTTGATTTCATCAGCAGCTTACCTCTCTGTTTCAGAATTTCAGCCATGTAGTTATCCTCTCCGACCAGCTGGTGTAGTCTAAATTTGATCCAGCAACCCTCCGTGTCCCTCTGCTGGCACTGCTTGCTTTGTATGGTGAACTGGTCTACCATGACGTGATCAATGCTCTTCATGCAAGCCACATGGCAGTTTTTTTTAAAGGGACCTGACTCAAAGTGGAGGCAGTCAATGCAGCTCCTAGTAGAAGTTTGGAATTCTTACAATTTAGTCTGGCAAGGATCAGGGCAGGTGGGGCACGTCTCGTATTGTAGGTCTGGTAGAGTCCTGGGGCCGTATTACAGAAAGTTCCTATCTTACGTCTTAAGTTGAGACAGGAAGAGTCTAAGAAAGGATTTTTCTCAATTTGGTATTACAGAAGTGAATCCTAATGAACTTTAGGAATCCTATCTTATCTTTCTTCATCTTATCTTATCTCAGGTTAGGAAATCCTAAATACTCAATCCAACATCGGTTATCAACTTTTATCTCTGTTACCTAGCAACCGATGCCACTTTTCTCATCGAGCTAAACGACTTGTAATCGCTGTTTTTTGGTCATTTGTTTTTAATGAAACATTAACTGAAAATGGAGCAGAAACAACTATCATTGAACTTCAAGCCAGATGACTTAGAGGTGTTGGCTGTGTTGTCCTTTTGTTACATAATGAGACATTATCTAGCGTCACATCACCTTCTGCCTTTCTACTATCGGTAGATCAGTGAATAAGTTCCACTTGTTGACATTTTGTTGTTTTTATAAAAGCAATTAAAGAGCAGCCATGTGGATTAAACGAGTTAGCAAACACTACCTGGTGGAAAAGTAAAGTTAGGACAACTTAACAGTTCTCCTGAAGTTAGGAGAATTTATTTAAGATTTTACAAAGTTAGGATTTCTGTAAAACACTTTTAAAATATTGACTTAGGAACTGTTAATCTGTAACGGCCTTTTTCCTAAATCAGTTCGTAACCATTATTACCATGGTTTCCAAGCAGTTAAGATAGGATGTGCCGGTTAGGAAGTTTCTGTAATACGGCCCTCGTGTCTCGACGGGTCAGGGCTGTTTCAGCAGTCCTACACAATATTAGGCAGATGGTCATAATGTTATAGCTGGTCACATTCTTTCAAATTTAAGGTCCCTTTTCAAAAACTCGTATCTGATAAACCATAATGGAAGAAGTCAGGTCTTTTGAGGGAACATTTTAAAAATGAAGATGATTTGAAAGTGACTGGAACTCTACCTCCACATAGTTTATTGTTGAACTTCTCACAGTGTTCACTGTCGCACTGGCAGAATTCCCCATAGTAAGTGCTTCCACTGTCTGTGTTGTGGCACTCGCACCTGCCACACACAGTCTCCTCTGCCCTCACACTCGCTGCCGTTCTGCCTCTGACAGGAAGCTCGCAGGGACCGCTCGTCTTTACCGTCAGTGTAACACTCACAGAACTGACCAGAATAGCTGTCATTGCATCTAAGGAAAGTTAGAAGAGTGATAGAACTGAAAATTAACTAATCTGCAACAAAACACAATAAAGCGCTAACGCCTGTACCAGCGTCACTCCCTCTATGATGTACTGCATGTTATAATAGAAATGTTCTTTGATCAGTTTTGTGAGCCAAAACTCATTTTATGTCACCAAAGTAGTTTTTTTTAGTAATCAGCTCAATGCCCCATAAAGCCCCCCATTTTACTCAAGAGTCCATTTGTTCCTTGATGTTGTTGCTGTGTACTTTTATTGGACTTGTGTAATTGTTGGGGCAACATTTCTTCTTTTCAAGTTCTTTCAAAAGAATTTTTCTATTTTGTTATTAAAATTTATTTTAATTTAGACGCCCCATCACTACATACCCACACCAAAGTGTGGGGGACTAAAACTACCTTCTTTAGGTTAGAAAAATATCATAGGCATGGTTAAAAGAAACCATTTTGACTTTTGGTAGGACACGGGTTGTCATAGTCAACTATCAACCCAGACCGTATCTCAAAAGTCCTGTTCACACAAAGTAGCAGGCTCTCTCTTGCATCTCACAGGATAGTTGTTCTCCTGTTACCACAATACTGATGTAGGTTACGAAGTAGGGAAGCGCTCTGTCCACACATCATTTTTCTTAGTCAAGTCCCAGTAGCTTATTACAGTTATATCATAGAGAGAATCAAAAAACACGTATGATTATTTGCCTAGTGGTTGTCAATCCCATGCATCAGAGGGCATTTTGGAGTAATATGTAGTTGCAGTACTGGATGCTGCATTTTCAGGACCGCACTCCTAGGACCGGAACAGCATTTGTGGAATCCTAGTTTTCCATGACACTGCCAGCTAGCTAGTTAGTTAGCTAACTATGTTACTCCCCCGAAGCCTATTACCCTTACCCTAACCATTACAGGGGTGTGTGCCTAAACAATCTGTGTATGGTTCGTTCTTTGATTATTCAGTTTCAAAACCAAATCAGAAAAAACAAAACAAAAAAAAGTTGTTTTTTGTTTTTCTGTTTTAAAACCAAAACGGAAAAGCAGATAAACAGAAAACAAAAAAACAGACATTGGTTTTGGAAAATATTGATTTTGATATTTAATGAGTCCGATTTGAGTAGTGTGAGGATAACGGGTTCATAAGTCCATAAAAGAGGTACAGCCCTTACATATTGTTTTGGGTGTAACAGTGGGGTTTATTATGTTGTTTTTCCATGTATTGTTCTGTAGTACTTTTGCTTCTTGGCATTGTGTGGTTATGTATTGTGCTCCGTGTTCACAGGCAGGGCATTGTCGAGAAGTGGGTGTTGGTTCCAACTTTGACCACAAGAGGGAGTATACCTGTGTTACGACCCCCTGTTGGTCTAGGGGAGTGGGGGCCATAAACATATAGGAAAAACTGGTATAGATCTTAAAAAGGTAACTTTTATTTGGTAACCGGGGATGCAGGCAGGTAACAACAAACAAAAGGAGGGTGGATGAGGGTGCTGTGAAAATAACAAACAAAGTTAAAATAAAGAGGTCCTAGAAAGGAGGACTGTACCTAACTATATATTTAAGCAGAGTTTCAGATTCTTACTACCAAAAACACAAAGAGCACAGCACCCACTACACCTGATGAAAACTAACACAAGATTACTACGTGTGGCGGTCAGTGTGGACGCTAATTCCACCCTTTTGTTAGCCACAAGCTGGTGAATGCACACAAACCAAAATACTCAAAAGGTACTATGATTACTGGCTACTAAACATAACCACCACTAGACTATGACAGACTAAGTGAACTGCTCCACTAAACACAATGCAGAGCTAACTAACAAGGTACACAGTCAACACAAGCGGCACACAAGTCAATTGGCTGTGACAAGCTGCCTCGAGCAGCTGGTGGACTCTCCTCATGAGCGGGAGGTAATCCTGATGTGGTGACAAGCCATTGGTTGAGCTGGGAACAGAGGGAACCGATGGGTGGGACTGAAGTCAGCACCCCAGAAACCAGGAAGTAGGCAGGTCTTCATTCCACAGGGACACAGCCTACTTGGTAGAGGTGAGACAGAAAGGGGGAAACACAAAGATGACAGCGACAGCCGTGACACCTGCTAGTGAGTAATGTTTGGAGCAGCTGTAACTCGAGGTTGAACAGACGGTGTGCTGATTACGATGTACCCATCTTTGTTTATGTTGCAGGTAAGGAGACATGATCTCTCCTACAATAAAAATACCCAAAGCCACCCTGAGTTTAATTAAAATGTGCAACAGTAGCTTTGTGTGTTAACCTGCAGCAGATACACTTGGGTGATGGCGGCGCCTGATTAGACGTAATTAAGATGAGCTTGAACATCAACATAAGTGTTTTTTTAGTTAGAAAAACAGGACAATATTCTATAGCTGCAGTACTGGAGGCTGCAGCTGCAGACACTTCCCATTAGTTCAACAACATTTTTAGAATCTGATGACAGAACGCCCACCTCTGATTTTGGAATCAGAGTTGCTGGGATAAAACAGGAAGAATGAATCAAAGTAAGAATGCAGGTACTCTATAAATAAATAAAAAGTGGTACAGAAATAAATACATTTACCTTGTTCACATTCTCCACATTCTTTTTCACTGCAAATATCGGCTGAATATTGTTTTTTTCCAACTGCATAGCTAGTTGTCCAACAGATGGGTAGTCCTGTACACAGCAATCAATGAAATGTTGTAAACCTAATATTACCTCTTTTAAAGGTTAAGTGTGCAAGATATAGTGGCCAAGGTGTGGCCAAGCTTATTCACACTTTGATTAAGGCCAAAAGAGTTAAACAGAGTTTTAAAATAATTTGCAAAAGGGTTTGAGGGGCAACAAACGTGAATATTGAAGGGAGCTTGTCATATTTTGGAACGAAACTTGTGGATAAAGTTGTTGTTGAGTTTTGGTGGGCGATAAATAATTTTTTACAAGCTGGCATGATGATCTTTGTCTCATTATTTTACATCCCAAGAACCTGACATTTTAACAGGGATGTGTAGACTTTTTATATCCACTGTATGGAATACCGGCTCCGTGTAGCTCCATAAGTTGTAGAACGGAGCCGTTGGTAGAAAAAGCAGTTGCAAACAGAGCGTTCAGAACAGGAGGAAATCTGAGGTTTTGGCTCACAGGGATTTCTTTTAAATAGTTTTACCTCATTATTTGAAGCTTTGGCCATGTTTAACATGAACATCCAACAAAAACATTGTAGATAAGTCATAAAAATATGGAAAAGCATAATAGGTCTCCTTTAATATAACCTGCATCTTCTTATTCTTGTTTTGCGCATCAGTTATGATAACATAGCAATGCCTTTTGACTGTTGATTCAATTATGTGATTCCATACATACCATTTCAGTGCTCTTGGTATAAAGGTTGTTTTCCAGGTGGCAAAGTTCATCATTGGGTTCCAGTTTGCTAGCCAAATTTCCATCCCCCGCAATGTGAAATCCAGCATAAGTGGTCAGCACAATCAGCCAAGTGCTGCCGTTCCTCCAACCTATTTTGTCCTAAGGAAATTAAAATGTTTTAGTCTCTGTAATAGGATGTGATAGTCAATGGTGTCAAATGCAGCACATCTTGTTAAACAAGTACATAAGCAGGGCCTAAATGATAAAGTATTTATTTTAATACAGTTAGAAACTCCTGGACTTCAATAGCTCCTGTGTTTCAGCAGGTTTTCTGCTCATGTTCAAAACTTTCTGCACATTCAGAATCTCTCCCACAGATCTGTGTTCTCTGACATGTCGAGAAAAAAATACGTAATATTAAAGAATATTGTCATCCTTTAATAAGAATTCAAAATATTTTTACTACCTGACCAGCATGAAATGCAATAGTTGAAATGAGAAGGAATCATTGCATTCATATATACCCTGGGTGCTTCTACAGCAAGTGAGTTTCTGATATGTCTAAAAATAGCAATGTTATATTTCAGCTCACTTAAGTTCTTTTTGAACCCAAGACTACAATCCAAAATAACTTTGCATAAAATATTTGGAAATATTACTGTTCCCAGTATTCAATTTAAGCCAGTTTGTACTGCCCCTATCTGTATACATCAGAATATCTACATCATCACACACAGAGAGGAGATCATTGATTTAAAAACTGAATAACAATAGCCTTAGTATGGAGCCTTGTGGTACTCCCATAGTATGTTTATCCAAACACAGTGATAGATTTGATTTTATCCAATTGAACGTGTCCTTTGAAAGATTACAATTGGACAGCTTAGTGAGCATTGAGTGCAGTATTGAATGTTTAACTGATTCATGAAAAGCTTTACTTAGGTCAAGAAACATTGCTTCCACTACCCCTCCTTTATCTACATTAGCCTTAAGCCTCGAATATACCCAGGAGCGGACATGGACCCCCAGACGTGGACTACTACTTTCTACAGTCAGCTTAGCAGACACGTTCCACACATGTGCATTAGATTCCTTGGTGCCCTGGTAGCGCTAGTTGCCGCGCAAACAAATGGGAGGCAAGCGGACGTCCGCACAGACCCTTCGCATACCTGATGACGATTTTTTTGTCACTCGGCCCCTAGCAGACCCTCGCGTACACGGAAAGTATAATCCTTGCATTAATGACTTCAAGGAAATAGCAACATGCAGTTTCAGTAGAATGGTTTGCTCTAGATCCAAATTGCTTAGGATGGATTAGGTGCTTTTTCAGATCTTCAGCAGGTTAAGTCTTTTCAAATTGTTAGAAAGTGCATTATTATTTTAATTGTGATGCAAGTAATGCTTGCACAAATAGAAAATGAGGCTACATGGTATATTTTGCATTTTAATTTTCTATTTTGAATTAACGTTTGAACAGTGTCCACTGTACAGCAGTGTACAACTTAAAAAAACAAATGAAGACCCAAACAACTTTTTCATTTTAAAATGCTTATAGAAGCCCATATGAATGTGAAAATTAAATACAAACTGGATTAATGCATTTTCATTAAATAAGTAAACGTGGAATATTATATTTCTACTGTGGAATTTCATTTTGTAGTTTACATTATCGTTTTAAAATAGTCCCCTACATAATGAGTGAGTTGTAATCATTTTGCAGTAGGGAGAAGGTCAAGGTGGACTGTTTGGAGTACAAAACCCCGAATGAATAGAAAATGCTCTCTTTGCATTTCAAGTGAGCGTTGCTTTTTCAATATTTAAACGACCACTATCTAACCTTAACCAAGCTTTATGTGTTTGTTTATTTTGGTATTCTGGTGTCACAAAGAATAAATTATTATGGGAATTATTCTTCCATACTGTGACTGAACCTCTGAAATTGTGGCTTAAAGGTATTTTATAGTAACTGTTACTGTGTGGTCACTACTTGACACTGACTTTTTAATGACAACCAACTGCCATTCAAAATAAGACCCTCCTTTTTTAAGCTTCCACAACAGCCCAAATTCAGCATTTCTTTTTTACAGAAAACAGATTAGATGTGTTTTATGCCTTTGATTTATTCTATTCCCCCATCTACAGTTTATAAATTTTGTATATAACGTCTGTTTTGTGAGTACTTACCCCACATACAGCAGCCTGCATCATGGCGTCAAGAATCTCGTCAGGAGAAGTCAAGTTCCCAGAAATGACCTGCTCTCTCACTTTTGCTTTGAACTCATCCTTCTCTGGTGTCATACTAAGCACATGTCTGTAGCCGAAGGCAGCCTGACACTGCTGGTCGTTCTCATCACGTGGCTTCTGCAGTTTCCTCTGGTGGGTGTTAGTGTAAGGAAGGACTGTCTTATCGACAAAGACACCTAACCCTGTAGTTATAGAAATGCATTTCAGACCACTGTGATATATAAAGAAATAACATACTGAAATTAACAAAATAAATTCCTTCAGTTCCAGCAGTGACCTCGCACATTTCATGCTCGGCCCTGATAAAAAGGTAGCGCTATAGAATACAGCCTGTACATTTTGTGTAAGCAGTTTCTACAAATGGGATACCAACAAAATACATACCGTTAAGTACAAAGAAGGGACTACAGGGAACAAGGCCTATGTACACAGGATCTGGCTGAGCGGTATTTACACTTCAGACATAACACTTCAGAGAATCCGGTCAATTTTCAAAATAAAATACCCTCCCGGTCGTATATCAACAATAAACACAGTTAAAGCAGACACAAAAGAAACCCTTTAACTAAGTAGCCTACTTAATCATCATCAGCAGACGTACATAAAGCAAGAACTGTGTGAGTCCGGGGTGACAGGCTGCATAGTAGCCTAAGTCCGCCCCTCAGAATTCCCATGATGCTATGAACCCAACATGTATCATGATGTTGGGTTCCTCACCCAGGACTGGCCATGAGTCAATTGTTCTCGTTCATCAATGTAAACTCCACTTATGGAGAGAAAGGACACGGGTGTTGGGCCGGTTTTCCTACTTGCTATGTTGAAGTGAAAAAGCTTGGTCCATTATCATTGCCAATGGACAAGATGACTATTAATAGCAAAACGGCCGCAGGCCACCGGGAAATGTCCCGACCGCTCCGCCACTGCTTTACCTCACTCCTATGTGCCAGACTGTTTTTGCCACAGCAACTACACACATACTCGCTTGCACATACACATTCTGTGATTTGTACTGTCAGAGTTAAAGTCGCTCTTTCTAGAACAGAAAATGCAGTATTTCTCTCTTCCCAGGGTTAACTCAGCAGCAGCTCCTGTGGAGGCTGACAGACCTAATTAGGTCTAGCTTAGGTCACATTCATCTGAAATTATCAAGACACTAAATAACATTGATAATTGATTGATCATTCACTAATTTAGCTGTTACTTTTACCCCCCCAAAATTAAAAGAATGTGTCCCCATAATCCCCAGACCTGCTGCAATAACAGATGCAGTGAGTGGGAATTGATCCCGGCTCTCCCACCTCAACAGCAAGAGCACTGACCACTGTACTACGGATACCACCATCCCACCCCATGAGCTCGCACATATATATATATATATACTCTATTTACGCACTGTTTAGGCCCCCTGAATTCAAATCATAAATATAAAGCATGATTTGAAATCGAGGTACCTCCAATTCAGTCGGTAACGTTAAGATTATATCTTTAAATCCCTCACACAACAAGATTTATGATAACGACCCAGTTAGTTAGTTATCCACTAGTGTGCAGCCATGTCTCTTAGGTCACCAACAGCAGCCATTAATATTCCTGGCCGACTCGCCCAAGCAAGTATATGTGAAGGAAATACTGTTTCCTCTGATTCCTTGAAAACAAAGCGTTTCCCAAAGGCTCTCTTTCCGTCATCTTAGCTTGAGCTCAACTAAACATGCCATAGCCTGGCTGAGAGGGAGTTTGGGCTTTTAGGAAGGGGTAAAAGGGCACTGCTGGAAAGGAAATGGATGTGCTGGATTCACAACACCACAAAATTATTGCCAAACTAACTGGGACACAATTATCTTTTTTTCATAATCTTTGGAAGACAAAATCACAATTGAAAATAACATGTGATTATTGTCCCAGACCTAGCTGACACTACCTGTTTCTAATTCCCCCTCTTGATCTTCTTTTCCTCCAAAGGTCAGCCCGGACATAGGTGAGCGTACCTAGGCAGGTGTGGATCTGCCAGTGCTATCCAACACGCCCAAGCTGGTTGTAGAAAGCATAGCAAAGTCCACAGAAGTAATGTCAGATTTTTTATATCTGAGCACATAGTTGTGTGCAGAAAGTGGATAAAACAAAAAAAATCAGAACATGATAACAGACTCAAATTGCAAGTCGCTGAAACGAGGGGTGCCCTGCTGTGTATGAGACAAACTGTCATAGAGGTTAACGTTTAATCGAAAGGGGTGATGTCAGAAAGTGATTGATATGCCTCCGTTGGTAGAAAGAACTGGAGATGTGTCAGCACCAAGAATGATCTCACTCATGATCTGAATCAACCAAAAATCAACCAAAACCATTACAGAAAGGGCCCTGGGTTTTTGCTGAAGCTTCCGGATACCTGGCCAACAGAGAAAGCCCATGAATAAGAAAAGGATGGGGTAAAGAGTATGCATTTTGTGCTGCTTTGAGTTTCTTTCCTTAGCTTAGTCTAGTTGACTTACCATAGTTGATGATCACCCTGCCAGTCTGCAGTGCTCCCTTCATTAGTAGCAGCAGCATCATATACATTTATGGACAAAAACACACACACACATGCCTACGTCTTGCTGTCTTTTCCACGCCCACTTAGCAATTAAATATTTTATATTTAACTCTTTGTTCCCTACTCTTTGACTAGCGTCTCTGTCCATAGAGGTATTATCTGCCAGCATTTCAAAGAATTGAGACAAGCTTTAACTAAAAGCCTCCAGAGCCACCGATTTTTTTGAGGAAACAAACATATTCGGTACATTCTGTTCTTTTTCATTCTTTTCATTCTGCAACTTAGTGTTTGCACTAAATTGTGGCTGTATTCTATTATGTTACCAAATTATAAATATTACCTATTTGAGCATGTTCAGTGATTTTACTCAGAGCTGCAAAAAGATCTTGCCCCAGTTGTTTAGCATTTTCCAAGTCATCTGTCATGGAGTAAGACAGGTCCAACAGGAAGTAGAGATCCACTGGATAACCCTGAACTCTTTTAAAAGAAACACTGAGTGTGGCAGGAAGATCTGTAAACACACAAGAGAAACAAACAAATGAAAATAACTAGTGCTGGGCAACAATTAAAATGTTTAATGGTGATTAATCGGATGATTCTCTTGCATTGTTATGCGCAACAATGAATAATGAATTCTAAAGTAGTGTAATTTAAATGTACTGCTATATACACAAAAGTGCAATAACATGTGGTTTGCAAACACTTTAAAGAAATAAGGTGCATTTTCCCAGCGGTGTTCCCTTTACACAGTAGCAGTAAAATATTTATTGTAAATTTCAACTTAAACTTTAATGTAATAAAATCAAATATTAAAGCAAAGCTGTTTCCCACTGCCAGGTATTACCTTTTATCTAGCTTGTTAAAACAAGTTAGCAGCATAAAGTGTCCCTGTCAGTAAGGTGAAGTGTCGCTGTCACTCGCCTCACGCACACGCATGCAGATCACTGCAGAAGTTGATTTGTCTGAACGCGCAGCACAAATCATTGGAAGAGATTCGATGTTTGTGAGTTTCCAGAAGATAAATATTTATCAGAAACTAGATGAAGGCCTGTCTGGTAAAGTTATGTAGCCTATAATTTTTACTCTAGTTAAATAGGCTACAGCTGTGTAGCGCACAGAAGCCGTTGCCATGGTTACTCCATAGAGCGCCTGCCGTTTACCCGCGGAGCGCTTGTCTCCTGTTCACCTGAGGAGGGCAGAGCGACCCTGTGGGGCCAAACGACTACGTTGTGATTTTAAGAACGTTTCTAAGACGGACATCTGCCGAAGCCTCCCTCCGCTGCTTGTTTTGGGTGGGTGATTTGCTCCTGTGACCCATGCTTTAACTGCAGGCTTATGTGTATTCAGAACCAGTGTGCAACAGACTTTTAAATTTATAGCCTAATAATAAAAACTGCGTTAATGTGTGGTAAAATAATGCGATAATAATGCGTTAACATGCCCAGCCCTAAAAATAAGAAATACTACCATGTTCATGTATGCAGAAAACAATATACAGTACTTGAGGTTCTTAAATAAAATGTGATGATAGGTGATACACAAACACAGAGAATGTAGCACAGCTACATGCTTTGGTTTTATTCTGATTTGGAAAATACATTCCTTCAATTCACAAAGTCAGCATTAACTGTTTCAACTTACTGCGTCGCAGTATTAGTGAAGTCTCCTGTGGATTCAGCTGGACAGACTCCTGCTTACTGAACGACTCAGATAGCGGACCTTTCTTCACAGTGGTTACGATGTTCCGGGGGGAGATGATTTCTTCCATCTTGCAGCCTCTTGCTATTAACTGAGCTTCAGTATCACAGCGTGTTGACTCCTCTTCACCAAATTAGGTGAAAATCTGTACAAATGGACACGGGACATGAGCAGGGACAGTTCATGATATTTATTAAGCAACTAAAACTAAAAGCGAGCACACTCACTGCGAGTGGCTGAGTCCAGTAAATCCATGATAATAAACGAACAAATGATCCAGCAGAAAATCTAAAATGCAAAATCCACATGAAGGCTTGGAACAAGATGGGTCCGATCACACACATGACAGAGCCCGACAAGCTACAATGACCCATCACAGACTGAACAGAACAGAGGACTTGAAAATACCATGGCAAACGAGCGAGTGAATAGGTGAAAGACATGAAGGACTAATGGGAACGAGCTAAACCTACTCACCAGACAATGACGATTACAAAAAAAAAACAGGAAGTAAAGCATGCAACAACAGACCACAGGGCTGTTTCACAAAAGCCAAGATAGCGGATTAAGCCAGGATTGTCCAGTTATCCTGGCTGAATTTAACCTTGACTCAGTTTCACAAAAGCAGTAGTGCATAAGTTACCATTGTAATTAATTCTGTGCAACTAGCCTGCTCCAGACCGATCTAACAGCCAGGCTTGGTTAATCCTTGAGCCTTGTCTGTTCAGTCAGAGGTCACTCTGATCCCAAACCAATCTGTTATTCCGTTTTCTATGATTAATTTTTATTAGCCTGCATTAAAATACCACAGGTACCCTACATGTTGCCAATATGTAGGGTATTTACTACTTCATTAGAATATACTGCGTATTTGACATTGAAAGGATTTTCTCACATCTTCATTACCTATCCTGACCACAGAATAATGAGCTACATTACAGAAGAATTCTACCAAATTGTAGGTAAGAGAAATTAAAAAAATAACTATGCTACATTTGGTTCTCATGCTGTCTTTGTGTCCGCTCCGGTAAACGTCTCTGTGATTGTCATCAAGTGGGTAACTTTGTGGACAAGCTACACACACTGCTGTCTTCAATTGCAGAGCATGACTGTCCCCTACTTGTCCTCGGTGACATGAACATTCATTTAGACAATTCAAACTCCGCAGACTTCCTGTCTCTGATTCAGTTTGATCTAACACGGGTTCTCAGTCCCACGACCCACAAAGCTGGCAAGGTGCTTGACCTCGTTCTTGTCCAGAAACTGTGCCACAGAGTGCCTAACAGTCACACCTCTACACATGTCTGACCACTATTTCATTCAATTCACGGTATGCCTACAGGAACAACCCACTGTTCCAGCACCGTATGTCTCACACCGCCGCAACCTGAGCAACCTGGGCACCCTGACACATGAATTTTGTGTTTCCTTTTAGATAAATAAAAACATTTCCACCATAAATGAATGCAGAAAAAAATGTAATAAATTCATCAGAATGCAGGAAATCAAGTGTTTTAATGCTCAAAAGTCTTATGATTCGACATTGAAGATATGATAATGTTAAAATCTTGTCTCTGCTCCTGAAGGCTGAAGAAGTGCTCATCAGAAAGCAGACGCTAGGCCTATATCTTGTATGTATCAATATTTGTTTCTTTGTTAATTCTGCTGCAGCTTCTTATGGTAACAATTATAGGATGATTTACGGGTGACTTGCCACCTAACTAAAGTTAGGGTTGTTTTATCTTTAGTCTATGGGCTTTTGCTGAGTAACACTGCTGTGGGCTTTCAGTCAAGGTAATGTTAATCATGTCCACCACGTGCACCAAATGGGAATGGAAGGAAGGAAAGTGGTCTTTTCACCTCACTTGAAGACATGTTTCCTATCCTCTCAGTCCCGGTCGTTAACAGGACTGCTCACATAAACAGAATTAAACACGGTGTAATTACTACTTGTGGCAGCTGAGGCGACTGCTGAAAATTAAAAAATAAAATCTTTACAAAAACAACACTTTCATTGCCAGGATTCGTTGGCCCTGGCACTTTCGTGCTCGGGCCCTCTTTACAAAGAGTTGCAGCCTTGCACCACACGCCTCGGGGGCCGAGACAGCCGTAGTCTTGTTTTCAGGTGTTGATTACTGATGAGCCACAGTTGGGACACGCAGCAATTGGCAATAAGCCAGAGCAACATGCTCAACACACACACAGACCAACAGGACATGACAGACGAAACTTACAGGAGGGGCTATATTTACACTATAATACGTTTTTGACAGATGTAGGTAGCATGCCATTAAGTGCAGTGGAAGAAGAGAGGCAGTATCCTGAAAAAATAAATCTTTTATATGATTATTATGTTAAATACATTTATTTTATATCCTAAAAATATCACTTAAGTTATAAAAAGACTAATTGAAAGAAACTAATTGAGTAAGACATGAAAATAATCAGTCTCAATAAGTCTATAATACATGCATGGAATAGCAATACAAAAAACCCATTATACCTTTTAGAAATGTTCATTAATACAATGCCAATCAAAAGCTAAACAATATTATGTAACACAGGAGGTAAAACTTCACAGACAATAATGGTAAGTATAAGGTGTGTCCCCTCAGTCCTGTTACTGTGGGCAAGCCTGTAACTGTAACGTCAATCCTGTTGCTTTCATTAATGTGATATTCCTTTATAATCAAAACCATATTATATTTTGTACCGGGCAAATCTTTCAAGATATCTCTTCTAAAAACATATTTTTTTCCTCAAAGACATAAGTTTGCCGTCAAAAATTTGTGTCTTGGTCATTATGAAGAAAAATATATGATTGAAAAACTAATAATAATAAATAATCTCAGGGAAAAGAGGGATTTATGTACTGCTCATCCATGAGCATTCTGTTACAAACTTGTAATTAGAAGTATAGTATATAGTAACACTCATGTCCGTAAGTTTGACAAAATATAAAATTGATAAAATATAAAATTACACAGCTTGAGATGGTACAACACAATTTCTTGTCATTTAAAACGTCTTTGATCCTTGGCTTCTTAAAAAGTGGTGATTAAAGTATTTTAATTTAACACTTTTCAAAGTTGAAAAGGCACCTATTTTGTGAAATGACCCATTTGATAGATGAGCTGCTCTTGTCATCTTCAACTGAAGATACAGCACTCTACGCTAACCTTTTAAAAAGATTTAGGAGCACTCAAAGAAATTTAGGAGCAGCGAAATGTGCTCAAGTAAGTTTAGTTCACACTAAGTTAACAAACTATTCATTACACATATTTATATTATGTGTGTGCTCCTTCTCTTTGTGTTCAACTATGGTATGAAACCATTGGAGGACAGGAAGTGAAGACCCTTGTATGTGCAACTCAGCACTGGCCTTAACATTTTGTTAAAGCTATTTTAAAAATTGAAACAGATGTTTTTAGAATTGAAAACAGCTTTTAAAACACTGATCAGTCATCAGAAAAAAACATTACTGTGATTGGTGCTTGTGTAGTTTTTTAACCAGGGAGGGATTCACGAAACACCAGCAGCAGCCACACAACCGACATCACCCTTGATGGAAACAGGACTACTGAACAGTGTTACAAGAACTTTAATAGAACAGAACAAGGGGAACGTGTTGCTCTCAGGAGGAGGCTAGAAGGAGCACATACTGGCATCCACTGCAGAGGCTCATTCACAACATGGAGTGTATTAGTATAATATTATGACATTAGATAAAAACTTTTTAACCTAATAGTATACAGTTAGTATGCTAATATATAACTTATTTAATTTTACTATACTGTCATTTTATGTAATAGTATACTATACAGCTCACCACTTGTATAAAATAAATTCCAGTTGGAAAAAACAGCAGTTTCAGGTAGGAGGTTGTAGTTACTCGCACATTGTGCTCCTAAATCATTTTTCCCATTTGCACGTAATGGTAGCACTTTAGAGCCCTGAAATATGGATTCAGAAACCAAAATGAAAAGAAAATTATTGGTACCTTTTCTCAAAAATGTGTCTCTGAGAAGTTATGTCAACTTCCTCCCAAAAAATAAGAAGATTCTCCTCCTTCACCAGCAAAATGGCACAACTTGTTAGTCCTGTCAGTGCCAAATACAAACTGCCAGCAAGAGCCTTCTTCTTCTTCTTCTTCTTTGGGTTTTTACGGCAGCTGGCATCCATTGAGTTGCATTACTGCCACCTTCAGGCTTTATGTACCCTTTGCTTTCATTCATACTAAATTCGCCTATCTAATCCTGTCGCCCTCAGAAAACCAACTATCCGTTTCCTATCCTCCACACTCTCTCCATATTCTAATAAACCGTTTACTGTATCATTTCTTGTCTTTCCTGAGTAAATTTCCTGCATGTTGTAAGAATATGTTCTACTGTTTCAGCCTCCTGACATTGTTCTGACAATTCTCAGCTTGCTTATTATCAGCTGCTCGTTCCTCTTTGCTCTCCTACTTCTTGATATGCCTACTTTGCTTTGGATTTCGTGTAAATGTCTTCCTTTTATTGCATTATCCCAGCTCTGTTGCCACTGTTGATTTAAATTTCTCCACATTATCCCTTTCCCCTCTGATTTTGATGTCAAATGTCAATAATTGGTTATCTAGAGATTAATTGATGACATAATGTTGACGGAAAGAAAAAGGCGGAACTCAGAAATGCGGAAGTGCAGCTCGTGCGGTGCACACAATGGAGACGTGCAGAGACAGCAACCAGGTTATTTCAGGGTTTTTATTTTTCATTTTTCCCCCTCAAAGATTTTGATCTTTGTCTCATTTTAACAGGGGTGTGTAGACTTTTTCTATCCACTGTACACTGAAGTTACAACAACTTCCTGTGTCATGGTGAAGAGTTGATCTTTGACGCCACTCCCATCGACGAAAACTCACTGATATCACAACTTTTCCTCGTCAATGCCTTTAGAAGGCACAGCAGAAATTTTAAGTTGTTTGGATTAAATCCCTATGAGGAGTTCGTTAAAGTGTGTAAATCGCCAAAAATGAGCATTAAATCCAAAACGGCCGACTTCCTGTTGGGTTTAGGCTATCGCTCCAACAGGCTTTTTTTGTGCATCTGGACAAGATACACGTACCACAGAAATTTCACACATGTAGGTGAAACA